AGCGATGGCGACTGCGTCAGGTTTTTTGTGGAACTTCAACGTGTATAAAAGACTAAAGGTGAAAACTGGTACGATAATACCTGGTAAAAAATAAAGTGCATTGGAATTACCAATTTCACATCACCCACGTTAATTTCACCTCATACCACGTGCAACCCTACGCTGGCTTTTTTTGGAACCCACCATCCCTTTTCAGGGTCTTGATACGACCCTCCTCTGTGAACGTGTGTGTATGGAAACACTAAAATTACCAATGGACGGGGAAAAAACTTCAGAGCGCATGAGTAATTCCTGTTCTCCCCGGTGTTCCTGCCTTAATCGAATAAAAAAATTTGCACCTGCCTCTGTCGATGATCATAAGTTCCTTAAATTCAAGGTTGTGCGACGAGGTAACAAGATTAGGGGGAGCTCATGCGAGTTTCCGTTATCTTGAGACGATCGCAACCTTTTTTCAACAACTTGGAAAGCTGAAGGCAGTATTACGAAGTTTAAGGTTCAAGCTCCAAAAATTACTGGAGCTCATATGAAAAATCAGAGATTCACAAAATAGCCCTGATGGGACTTTTTGGTTATTGTGGGATTATTTCTTGGAGCCGCATGCTTCAACCTCCATATGCTCGTAACGCTCTTCAGACTCAGCAAATTGGGAAACTGAAGCAAGTACGACAAAACTCAAGGGTAAACCTTTCTAAAAAGTGCTAAGGCTTATCCAAAAAATCACCAATTCCAAAATTAGTTTCGCGGACTTTTTTTGAGTACATCCATTTTCTTGTTAACGCTGGTCGATGGCCGTATAATTTGCTTCAAAATCGATTCCATGTAAAACTTTGAGCGTGCTAGAAAAGTACAATGCGGTGCAAAATCATAGGACACCCCCAAAAATATGAATATCTCGGCTTCTAGAAACGTCGTTCATCGCAACCTGTAAAATCAGAACCGCCTTTATGAAAAACCTATACTAAAAGTTACTTACCAGGTTATCGAATTAGTTTTCCATATTTTTAGATAAATTTTTTTTCAATTTTAGAGCCGGTGCAAAAATTAAATTTGGAGCTGGTGCAAAATCATAAGACACCTTCCTTGGAAACCCTTAACACGTTGACGACATTGTGCAGCGCATGCGCATCACAGCTTGAGCACCGTGTGGGACCGTGTGC